AGGAGGGGCGCCGGGCCGGGCAGGAAATTCCACATCGGCTCCCTGATCCCGGGCCAGCCGCGGCCGGCCAGGCGGCAGCGCCCGCCCCACGCGCCAGACCCCACCCTCCGGCCGCGCCACCGCCCCTCCGCGCGGCCCCCGCCCCCATGCGGCCGCTCTCAAACTTGGGGGCTAACTTGGAAGGTGCCTGCCGAGCGTTGGGGAGAAGAGGGGGGCCGCAGCGGCCCGCCCGAGGAATCCCAGGTCCCCAGGCCTTTTCCTTCCCTCTCCAGACAGCCACCTTCTGGACAAGCCGCCCCTGCGAGCTCACAGAGAGGCCAGGAGGGGGCGGGAAGGGGGTGGAGGATAAGGGAGCGACGCACTAAAGCCCCCCTCGCCACCAACGCCTCAGAACCGGCCAGGGTAGGGTGTCCCGCAGACGACCCAGGTCAAGGCCGCAAGCCTGCCTCTGCTTCCCACCCGTCACCCACTCTGCGAATCCCTGTGGTGCGGGTTGGGCGGTCAGCTCCTCCCGCGCACTGTGTAATCAAAGCCTACGGGGACCCAACAGGATGCTTGAGGCCTGTAGGTAGACTTGGTCTGGATCAGAGGCCTGGGCGAAGGGCACTCCTTAGAGATGGATTGGAGAGATGCCTGGCAGATAGAATGGCCCTGCCACGGGCTTCCATAGAATGTGGGAGTAAAGGCAGAGGGAGGCAACAGCAGAGCTCCAGGACTGAAATTCTGCAATCCTTGTCTGGGTGAGAAGGGTTTGGGAGCCTGGGAGACGAATTCTGCTTGAAAAGGCTGCTGGATCACCAGAGGGAAAAGTCCAGTCCATGGAGTCAGGGCTGGAGACCTGGGAGCTTCTGCTTGAGGAGGGGAGGGGTGACAACACAGAGCGGAGCAGGGACCACAGGGAAGTGGGGAGGCAGGCAACACTGAGAGGAACAGGGTCTAGGGGGACCTAGAGGAAGCCGAAAGTGTGAGGAAGCAGAGGGATGCCTGGTGCTCTGGGGGGTGGAGAGCAGACCCAACTTCAGGGCCCATGGGGCAGGGAAGGTGGGCAGGCCTGGGGATAGAATAAGGGGGTCAGCCAGATCCCAGCAAAGATGAGCATGTCTTTTGAGGACCTGAGTTGGTAGGAGAGCCTGAGCAGGGAGAGGGCACCTGCCTTGTCTTGTGGAGCAGGCTGCATGGAGACCCCCTGAGGAGGAGGGTGAAGTGGTATCCTTACTTCGTTATGTGGAGGTCCATCAGGGTCGAAGTTGGGGCTGGAGGAGTGGGGCTTAGAACAAGGGCCGCTGAAAGGCCCAAGGCTGTGAGCAGCACCAGCTGGCTGGGCCAGAGGCCTGTCCAGGCAGGCTGGTGGAGGGTGGGATGGGAAGGAGCAGGATAGGAGGCTTCTGAGGTTAGGGCCCCTCACTCAGTCATGCTGGTACAGGAGAGAGGCCAGAGGCAGGTAACAATTGGGTAGACTGGAAAGGGAAGTTGCACCTATGCAATCACGAATGCAAACACTTCTTGGGGACAAGTAAGCAGGCCAACCACTTCTGGGCAGTTCCGCCTGGGCATGGCCCTGACCTGAGTAGTGCCCTCCTGGTGCCAGGGACTCTCCCATGGAGGTTCCTATTGGCTGACACCAACACAGGCCAGCAGAGTCCACCCAGCAGCTTGTGGCAGCCCAGCAGCTCCCAATTTTAGAGGTAAAGACCCTAGGGATGAAGGCACTCACCCCAGCTGGACTGAGTTCATGAACAGGTACCTCAAATTCTATCACCTTTCCCCTTCCCCCATAACTGTCCTTCACCCCCAAAATCCCACCTGTGAGGAGCACCACCTGACAACACCCCTAATTCTGAATGTCTTAGATCTCCACTCACCCCAATCTATGTACCACCCAGAGTAGTCTTTCTAATCTTACATCTGGCTGTCCCCCACTGCCATCAGGACAAGGACTGTCCCCAGCCTCGTCTCAGTTGCTCGCTCAGATCCACAGCCCCCTGCATGTATGTCATCGCGGTCACCTCACAGTTGATGACAACATCTAGTGTTGAAGGCAGGGCCCATGTCTGTTCCAGCCACCACTACATTTCTCTCAGGAGACAGAAGTGCGAGTAGAGTGAATGAGCATCCATGCTCCTGGCCTGAGGTCAGATAAATATGATGAGGAAGCTGTGGTTTCCCACAAATGACTGACCACCACACAGGCAAACGGTGGGAGCCTAGATGAGTCCAGGGTGACCAGTTCTAGCCAGGATGGCTTTGTGGAGGTCAGCTTCCAAAGGTGAGGATTTTGCAGGCAGAAAGGGACGAGTCAAGTGGAGACATGAATGCAGGGCCTGCAAGCTGGAAAGGCCAGGGGCAGGTGATGGGAGGACAGTCACAAGTGCCAAGCTGGGTGCTGAGGTCCAGTGGCAGGGCCAGGCTGCTGCCTAAATCTCAGGATCCCTTCCATGGCTCTAAGCTCTCATGGAGAGAGCATCATAGACCCTTCCCTCCTCCACAGACCAGAGGTCTCTCGTAAAGCTGTGGCAGCACCATGCCTTGGTGGCTCTGTGTGGGGAGATAGTACCAGCAAGCTTGGGACATATTGATTATGGGGGTGGGAGGACATTTCTGGTGCTCTCCTTCCCAGAAACCTCTGGGGTCTGCAGGAACTGCTACCCTGGCCGGCAAAGTGGTGGCAGAGGCAGGAAGTGCTGGGTCCCTTCTCTGAGCCTATGTTGTCACACCTCACACTCAGGAGCAGGGGAGATGACACTGGAGAATGGCCATCCTGTCCCATTGGAAGTGACCCACCAGGCTCAACACTGGGCTTGCCACCCTGAAGTGCAAGTGCATGATGTCACATTGGAGTTAGGGAGTGGGGTTATGTTTCCCCAGAACTCTAAGAATGAGGAAGGTCACATGCACGGCCCTGAGAGGCAGACAGCGACTCCCACTGGCCTCACCCCCACACCCCAAAGTCCTTAAGGTATAAGAAAGGAGAGCCCATGCCATAAGCTACCGTGAGTGGCCGGCGACCCATCTGCCTCAGCTGAGAAGACAGCAATGATAATACAACATGAGCCAGTGAGACGACGTCCTCCACAACTAGACTGAAGAACAAAAGGACAGCAACTTGTCTGTTCCCCTTCTCCGATTCCCCAACGCTGTTCCCTTCCCAGTTCCCCAATAAAATCTTTTTTTTTTTTTAAAGTAGCCCAGAGCAAGATTGCCTGCACCTCTCCCCATCCCTTCCTCCCATCAAGTAGCACACACTGCCCTCTGCTCTCCTCCCATCCATGACAGGGTGCTAGCCACAGCGGGCTTTGGGCAAGGCACCAGGGGACAAGGAGAAGACTCAGTTGTTCCCATGCTCTGTCCAGCCAACTGGGAGAAGGCAGAGCCTTAGGAGGTCACAGCTCATCTGCAGGTGGAAGCTCAGCTGTGCAGAGGTAAAGTTGGTGGTCCCATTCACTGCACAAGCCAGCTGAGCCAATGTGCTAAGAACTCACCTGATGACCTGTAGGAAATGCAGCTCCCCGCCCCCCCACCCCAAACACACACTCAGATCCAGGTGGGGGGGAACTCATTGTGACTGGGTCTACTTCCCCAGGCACTGGGGCTCCTTTCCTAAACCTCAGGCTGGGATTTAATTGGAGCCAAGGGATTAAGGGTTCAGAGAAGAGCTCCTTGCCAGAGAAGTGCTTGAGCGGGCTGGGTGACCCCATGTCACTAGACTGGGGCGAGTTTCCAAGTGAA